ATTTTACAACTCTAATTAAAAATTTTGTTTATTTTTAAGTATTTTTGTATTATTATGATTTTTAGAGAAATAAGACAAAAAATAATTTTAATATTATTAAATAAGTATATATTTTTAGTTACCGGATTTAAAAGTTGTTTTAAACAAATTTTTTATTTTTAAATTTTGATTTTGATTTTCAATAATTATAAAATTTATAAAAAAAATAAAAAAAAAAACCCAAAATATCAGAATTAAATAAAGCCTTAGCTTTTAGCAGTCCATTTTAATTTTTTGACCATCTACAATCAAAACTAAAAGTGAAAAATAGCGCGGGTTCTTATTACGTACCTAGTTGTTTCAAATTCGTGATAGATCATGTCCCAGCGGTCCACTTTTTGGAGTACTCTCGATTCAATCTGGTAAATGGAGTCGTTCAAAAGCCGAAGTTCCAACCCAGCAATGATTGGAACACCGGAGCCAATATTGACCAAGCAGACATCTATTGTATCGGTCCACAAAAATTGAATGATTTCGTAGTTCCAGTACCAATGCCCGTTCTCTAATGGCACAGTTATCCAATGATTCACGCCTAGGTATACTTCAAACGTAGGGGGTTTTCGCAGGCCATCATAATTTGCATAATTGAAGAAGACTCTGACCATGTAGTGGTGGCCTTTGCCGTGTTCAGGTTTAAGGGTGTAACAGTTCTTCTTTCCCTCTGGAAAACTCCTCAAGGTGTTGAGCATCTTCCCAAGTTGAGGATGTGTGGCTATGTCTTTATCTGAGGTCACCGGTTTATTCTCTCCAGCTGTAACGAAATCCGAATCGGAACTGTAATATATTCCACTTAGCTCATCTGGGTAACCTTCATTCACCCCACAATCAATGCTTATTGAACCTTCACTCCATACAAATTAGAATCATGTTAATAATAATTAAACATCAATTTGAAACTAAAATTAAAAGAAAATAAAATTAAACTAAGAAAGTTATATTATTTAAAATTATTATCAATTTATATATATATATATGGTTTAATAAGCTTTGATTCAGTTACCTGGCCTGCCAATAGTAGTAACGAGCTTTCTTGGTTCGACATGTTTATCGTGTCCCGCGCACAATCCAACCATGAGGACTGCAAGAATGAAGACCGCCCATGCCCATGGTTTAAAGACCAATGTTTTCCCAGCAGTCATTTTACTGACAAATATTGGTTTGCAGAAATGGGTATAAAATTGCTGGCTATGGATTATATAGGATCTAACAAACAAGGATTTACCTTTATTGGAGCATTAAACACGGCAAATGACACGCAATATTTTTTGAGGAATGTTAAGTGTACTCTTTGTTAGATACTTCTCGTGTGATTGGGTCATAGAATATAAATTTATTGTGATGGGTCATGATTTTAAATTTTAAATTTTAAAAAAAATTAATTTTAATGTCAGTTATTAATCATCAATTAATTTAAATTTATATTTTATGTTAATCCAATTGCATAAAAAATATTCAAAAAAGAAAGTGCTCAAAAAAGAATGTCAAAGAAAGTGTCCCTAACACTTCTCATACTTATTCTTGCTACTTGCTCCTAAACCAAGATTTGGGCTTATAAAGTTTTAAGAGGTGTTTGTTTTAATATTTTGTAAATAATTATCAGTTGCTAACTTTAATTAAGTGAGTTAAATATTTTAAAATATAAATAATAATAACTATAAATGGTACAATATCACTTATTTATCAATTATATTAAAATAATTAATCCAAATAGCTCCCTAATTTATCCATATTATTGATTTTTTCCGCTTCCATTGTCCCCACACTCGGAATTTACAGGATGTTTGTGATATTAATGTAAGACAATGACACATGCATTGTGCAATGCATTTTGAAGGTTAAAGTATTGACTACACATCATGAAATTAATCTCCATTAATTCCCCAGACCTCTGCTTAATTTCTTTCTTTGCTGTAGTTAATTTAGTCAATGTCAAGACTCAAGACTAAGAAAAGTCGCTTTCAAACAAGGTTCTATGTAGATGGAAAAAGTCAGACAAGTTGTAGGAGTGTAATTTTCACGTTTGGTATTTTGAGGCCATGACGTCATGTCCATGTAATATTGCTTGTATCATATATTTTTAAAAAGTTATGAAATGCGAAAATTGGAGGCTTCTATTAGAATTTAGAAGTCAATTAATTAATCAACTGATCTTCAAACCATTAGTCTGTAACTACAACACACATCTCTACTTAGCATTTAATTGCTGAGGAAATTACAGGTTTCTGCCCCCAATAATTGTAATGTGGGAAAAATCTGTTCATCTGTTGTAGACTTGATTTTAGTACCAAGGGCTAAGAAACGTTGCTTTCAAAACGCGGTTTTGTTTAGAAGGAAAAAGCCAGCTGATTCGTAAGGATGGCAAAATTGGGAGAAAAAAATTAATACAAAATGGAAATCTTAAAACGTCAATAATTAGAAACAATACAAAATTTTCCCAGCTAAAACGTCCAATATATTTTTTACTAGTTTGGAATAGAAACCAAAAAATGAAAAAAAAAAAAAAATACACACTCACATTGTAAATTATCATGCAGGGGGCATACTTTCTGTCCATGCATTATAACCTTACACTTTATTTTAATTGAGAAAGTTAGAGATGAAAGAAGAGAGAGTTAGGAAAAGAGAGCACTCTTTTTTATTTGAATATAAAAAATTTTAATGAAGGGAAAAAAGATGGAGAGACGAAATCTTCTCTTCTCCCTTGTTTACAATCTCTGTTATTTGGAAGAATTAAAACGAATTATATTATTTAATTTATTTTTATTTTTAATTTTTTAAAAATAAATAAATATCTTTTATTTCAATTATTTAGTTAATTAATAAATTTTAAAAATTTTATTATTTTATTATTTTATTAAATCATTTAATTAAATAAAAATTATTTAATTAAATAAAAATAATATCATTTCTCTTCCTTCATTTTTATTTATCCAAATAAAATTAATATTAATTATTTTTTTTCTTTCCTTTCCCCTCCCCTCCCCTTTCTTTCTTTTACTAATTTTTATACAAACTCCGTAGGCTTAGAGAACAAGGGGGAATTACATTTACAATTTCGCGAAGCATTGTCTATTGAACTATTTAGGAAGCGTAACACTGATTTCAAGTGAATTTCTGGTTCTGTGTTGTTCTTTGAGTTTCTCTGGAACCCATTTCTAAATCCAAACACTCCTTGAGTTCTGATAGTGCACGACTCATGTCCAGCCTCTGGATTCCAATTGGCAACACACATGACATTGCTATCTCCACTACTGCTTTCCAGGCTGCATTGATGTTGAATTCACCTTGTAACTTTGGATCAGTGATGCTCCGGATATCCACTCTTCCAATCAAAGGATTAGTCCACTCAATTATGCTAACATTGTATCCTTCATCTCTTATTATGACAGGTCAACCACTGATCAACTCTACTAGAATTATTCCAAAGCTATAGACATCACTTTTCTTGTTAATCCTCAGCTGCCCCGCATCAATGCTTATGAAACCTTAATTAAAAAAGTTTGTTGAAACGATTGGAATCAGAACAAATGTGTACAGGCTACAGAATAAATTTGGTTAAACTTGACAAATTTTCTGGACAAGATGGTATGTAATGCAGATGGTATTACCCGGTCTTTCTGCAGCTAGCTTTCTTCCTTCGGTATGTTTAGCATCTGTACCCGAACAAGATTCCACCAGTAACAAGACCATCCATAGTCTGAGAAAAAATGGTAATGAATGTCCAATGGAGACAATCCATGTTGGCATTTTTCTTACCATTCTTACCAGTTACCACTCTTATTTAGATAATCAATTAGTTCGAAATCTTCTAAGAGGGTACCATAAAGAAAAGCTGGGGTGAAATGAATTAATTGGTTGAACTTGTTATGAATACATGTACTAGTACTAGTAAATAGCAAATAACTAGGGATGTCAACGGGACCCCGCGGGGTCGGGGACCCCTTCCCCATCCCCGTCTCAGCGAATCACAGGGACGGGAATCCCCGCGAGGATTTTCGATGGGGGGCAGATTTTACCCCCGTACCTGTTCCCCGCGAGAAACGGGGATCCTCGCGGGGATCCCCATTCCCCACCAATTAACATCAAAGCAACAGTAGCAAAGCAAATGGCTTAGGCTGTTCGGCGGCGGCGGCAGCAGCAGCAGCAGCAGACTCCGATGGCGGTAGCAGCAGCAGGCTCCAGTGGTGGTAGCAGCAGCAGCAACAGGCTCCGGTGGCGGTAGCAACAGCAGCAGCAGGCTTCGATGGCGATAGCAGCAACAGCAGCAACAGGCTCCGGTGGCGGTAGTAGCAGCAGCAGTAGGCTTCGGTGGCGGTAGCAGCAGCAACAGGCTTTGGTGGCTGTAGCAGCAGCTGCTGTAGCAGCGGATGGATCCGGAAACAGCAGCAGATGGGTTTGGCAGCAACAGCAGATGGCTCTTGCAGCAGCAGCAGAGCAGATGGCTGTTCAGCAGCAACAGCAACAGATGGGTCCGGTGGTGGCAGCCGGTAGCAGCAGTAGAGCAGATGGCTTTGGCTGAACAGCAGTAGTAGCAGCAGATGGGTCCAGTGGTGGCAGCAGCATATGGTCCAGCAGCAGCAGCAATGGCTCCGGTGACAGCAGCAGCAACGGTAGGGAAACTGAAGGTGAGATGGATGTGAGAGATGTGTGAAGCTGCAGCTAAAGAGATTGAGTGATGTGAATTAAAATAAATTAGGGTTAGGGTTAAATGTAGGAGAATGGGTTGGGTTGAGAGTTGGGTTGGGTTGGATAGTATTGGGTTAAATTTAATTATAATTGGATTAAATTTGGGTTTGGGTTTGAGTTTGGGTTTGGGTTTGAATTTAGATTTGGGTTTGGGTTTGAGTTTAAAGAATAAATTAATTTTAAAATATAAAAAAAAATTCTGGGGATGAGGATCCCGCGGAGTCCCACCGGCGGGAAAAATTTTTCGCGAAATTTCACGGAAAGAAAATGATCCCCGTTTCCGTCCTGTAAAGAAGAATATTCCTCCCCGTCCCGTAAAGAAAAATATTCTTTCCCGTCCCATCCCTGTGGTGGGGATTCCCGCAGGACCCCGCGAGAAACGGAGAGAATTGCCATCCCTACAAATAACATAGTTGTGTAGACATATTTTGATTTTAATATTATATTGATTTAAGATATTTGATGTAAATATATAAAAATAATTTGAGATACTGTAATGCGTTTGTTAATTAATTTCAAAGATTGAGAGAAATGCATTGCATCTGTTGATTCAAAATTGAATCACTGAAACTTAATTAATCTAACATAAAAAAATAATAGTTCAGTTAGCCTCCTCATTCAAGTCTAAGTTACGGTAATTTAACTTCAGTTAAAAAAAAATTTCTATGCGGTAGCATAATTTCTCAATATTGGTGAAGCTTGGGGTGGTCGATCTCCTGTAAAGAAGTTCAAAAATGGTGTGCTGACAGTTGACAGATGGTACACCTGACAGTCGATAGAGGGTAGTTAATTGAGCAGAAGCAACGCAATTTGGGACCAGAAATTAATTAGGATCAAATCATCATAAATATATAGTTGCGGAGATGACCAACTGACTAGACTTGTGATCCATGGCCCTTGTCTCACGCAATTTGGGAGCAGAAATTAATTAGGATCAAATCATCATAAACATAGAGCTGCGGAAATTATCAACTGGCAAGACTTGTGACCCATGGCCCTTGTGCATGACAGAGACCACTGTGTGCTAGTGGATGTGGTTATTTTTCTTGTTTTAGTATATTATTATTTTTTAAAGGATGTTTAATACATAAATCAAAATGGAAGGTGGTTAGCGTTTTACTCTGAGTGCGAAGGCAAAAAAATCTTATATTATTAAAATAATAAAAAAAATATAAATTAAATATAAAAAATTATTTAATTTAATATCAATTAATTTTAAATTAAATATAAATTTTATATTAAAATTTACAGACTTAATTTTTAAAACTCAGTCTTTGTTTTTAGAAAGCCAGCGATTCCTTGAAAGTTTGAGCTGCATGACTAGAGGACATATCAAGTTTATCTGTTAACTCAAAATTCACATAGTAGATATAAATTTTGATTTATTATCAATTAATTTTAAATTAAATATAAATTTTATATTAAAATTTACAGACTTAATTTTTAAAACTCAGTCTTTGTTTTTAGAAAGCCAGCGATTCCTTGAAAGTTTGAGCTGCATGACTAGAGGACATATCAAGTTTATCTGTTAACTCAAAATTCACATAGTAGATATAAATTTTGATTTATTATCAATTAATTTTAAATTAAATATCAATTTTATGTTGAATCTCACCTATCAAGTAGGGGTGTTCACGGGGTGGTTTGGTTCGGATTGTAACATTTTTTAATCCAATCCAATTTAATTGGTTAGTAAAAATTTTAAACCAATCCAATCCACTATTATATGATAACCAAACCAATCTAATTTAAATCGGATTGGTGTGATTCAATCGGATTGATCGGTTTTTAACACTATTAAATATATATGTAAATAAATTTAACATTAAGTAAAAAATATAAATATAAAATACATTAATATCCAAATAAATAGAAACATAATTAAAAAAAGTACAAATTATAAACAAATTCTTATACTCTTTTACAATTGTAAAAATTTAAAAGATTTAGAAATTATAAACAAATTCTTAAATCTTTATCTTGATCTCCAAGAATACCCAAAAGAGAGCTGCCACCAGCCTCCCAAGCTCTTTTAATTCTGAATTTGGATGAGTATTTATAAGGTTT